GGCAGGGCTGAGCTGCAGGTCCTGACGCTCTGCCCCCTCCGCCCGCAGGGGCATCATCAACGTGGCGTCCTCCACCAACCTGCTGACGGACTCCAAGCACGTGCAGCTGGTGCTGGACCCCAGCCTGCAGCTGCTGAGCCGCAAGCAGCGCAAGCTCATCCGCCAGAACCCCGGCATCCTGCACAGCATCAGCACCGGGCTGCAGAGCGCCATCAAGGAGTGCAAGTGGCAGTTCCGCAACCGGCGCTGGAACTGCCCCACCACGCCCGGGCCCAACATCTTCGGCAAGATCGTCAACCGAGGTGAGGGGGCCGGGCCGGGGCGCGGGGGACAGGGCGGCGGGTCAGGGCCCCAGCGCTTTGGTGACAGATCCCATGGCTGCAGACCCAGATGCGTGGGCTCTGCTCTCAATGTCCCTGCAGTGGGTGGAGGAGCGGGCAGGGGGACCCTGGGGTGGGTCACACCCAGCTCACATGCCACCCTGGAGTGAGCGGGGTGCCCTCTCCAGGGACAGGCGGGCACCCACCAAGCCCCACCACCCAGGCCTGCATAGAGCCAGCAGAGAGCCTGGCATGGAGTGCCTGGGGTGGCATCATGCACAGAGCTCTGCAGGCCGGTGCCCTGAGCACCCCTCCCCTCCCCTCCCCACTGCAGGCTGCCGGGAGACGGCCTTCATCTTTGCCATCACCAGCGCCGGTGTGACACACTCGGTGGCCCGGTCGTGCTCGGAGGGCTCCATTGAGTCCTGCACTTGTGACTACCGGCGCCGTGGGCCTGGCGGCCCCGACTGGCACTGGGGCGGCTGCAGCGACAACGTTGACTTTGGCAGGGTCTTTGGCCGGGAGTTCGTGGACTCCAACGAGAAAGGCCGGGACCTACGCTTCCTCATGAACCTGCACAACAATGAGGCCGGGCGTATGGTGAGGTCACTGGGAGTGGGGGGACACGTGTAAGCACATGCAGGCGCACACACTTCTACCTGCCTGCACACATGCGGGCTGGGGAAAGGGCTTTGCACCCTGGGTGCTGGTGCCCATGGGAGGCATAAATTGCTGCATCAGCTCCTGGAGGAGCCACAGCCTCAGAGTAGTAGGAGGGGGGCTGGGGTGAGCTGAAGAGCCAGGATGACTCTGCCCAGCTCCGGCGGGGGGGCTGCGGAGTTCCCCCAGGTGCCAGCTGTGCCAGGAACAGGCTACTGTTCCCATCGCCACAATGCCTGGCTTAAGCCAGCCCTTGCAACCCAGGGCACCAGCTAGGCCCAGCTGGGAGGAAATACACATCCTAGTGCCCCTGGGGGCCTTGCTGGGGGGGGATCCCGGTGGGTGGAAACTCCCAGCACCTGGGTCCCCACGGCGCCCTGCTGGGGGAAGCTCCTGGCACTGGGTCCTGGCAGGCATGGGTCAGGGCCCAGATCACAACGTGGCCGTTTCTTGCAGACGGTGTTTTCGGAGATGCGGCAGGAGTGCAAGTGCCACGGCATGTCAGGCTCATGCACGGTGCGGACGTGCTGGATGCGGCTGCCCACCTTCCGCACGGTGGGCGACTTCCTGAAGGACCGCTTCGACGGTGCCTCCCGCGTTGTCTACGGCAACAAGGGCAGCAACCGGGCATCCCGCGTGGAGCTGCATCACCTGGAGCCTGAGAACCCAGCCCACAAGCCGCCCTCGCCCCACGACCTCGTCTACTTCGAGAAGTCACCCAACTTCTGCACCTACAGTGGTCGCACGGGCACAGCCGGCACGGCCGGGCGCTCCTGCAACAGCTCCTCACCTGCCCTGGACGGCTGTGAGCTGCTGTGCTGTGGCCGCGGCTACCGCACCCGGACGCAGCGGGGCACCGAACGCTGCAACTGCACCTTCCACTGGTGCTGCCACGTCAGCTGCTTGAGCTGCACCAACACCCAAGTGCTGCATGAGTGCTTGTGAGTGGGGAGCGCCTGGAGCCCCCTGCCCCGCCGAGACCCCCCTCCCACCTTTACGGC